AGAGCACTGACTGCTCTTGCAAATGACAGAGGTTCAAATCTCAGCACCCACATGACAGCTAACAGCCATCTATAACTCCAGTTCTAGGGGAATCCAAAGTCTTCTTCTAACCTTTTCAGGCATTGCATGATACGGGTGCACTTACACACACATAGACAATATATCCACCCACATAAAATTAAAATAATAGATAAAATTTTTTAAAGGTCATCTACGGTCATGAAATAAGATATCTGAAGTTGTAGAAGCTGTGACCCTACTATTATTTTTAAAAGTGCATGTTTTAACAATGATTAGAAAGTTTGAAAGCAGGATGATAGGGTGGAATAGAAATCTACATTTTTTTGAATAAAGAATTACAAATAAGTTTGACCTTCACAAGGCATTGTATGACATGGGTGCACTTACATACATTCAGGCAATACACTCATACACATAAAATAAAAAATAATAAAATATTTAAAGGACCTAGGCTGCCATGCGCATTACTACAGGGGTGGGGGTGCATAACCGAAACCAAATGGCGCAAAAGTCTACTAAAGTATTCCCTATGCCTGCCTCAATTACAGAAAGTGCTTGTGAGAGTACTCATCACATGGTATTAACCATGTACATGTTAACATTTAAAATATTTATTTATAATTATTCCTGCTTGACTAATCAGGATGAGCTAAAACAGTTTGCTTTAATTACTAGTAGCATTTTTAAATACTTTGTTACCACAACTAATATTATATTCAGCTAATCTGAAATATTCTTAAGCAGAATTCTTTCTGGTGGTATTTACACACACACACACACACACACACACACACACAGAGCGAGAGCAAGAGTAAGAGTGAGGGCGAGAGCGAGAAATGTAGTCGGTGTGGTACATCCATGTAATTCCAACACTCAGGAAGCTAAGGCAGGAGCATCCTAAAACAAAAATCAAACTGTGATATTTAAAATGATACCAGGGACAGAAAGACTGTAAATTAGCTTCTGAATCATCAAAGCCAAATTACTATAGCTTGGGGGTTGCGTGGATTTTATAAACTATAAATTTCTGTTTTGAAGTTTGGCAGTCTATAAATGGTACAATGGAAACCCATCAAGGACTTGACATTCCTGAGAGCGAGGGATAAGTAGTGTGCAGTGAGTGCTGTGACTTTCTCTAAGGAAATAAGGCCCCTTTGCAAGTCAGTGATGTGCTCAGAGGTGAATGCAGCCAGTGACAGGGGTGCTGGTATATTGTTGGGCCAATTCTGAGCAACTTGAACATCTGTATAGAGACAAAGAAAAGCCAGGCTTGCAACGGTTTGATTACTGAGGAGAGGAGCGGCAACAGGAATTGATGGGGTCTGGTGCCATAATTTGCAGCATTTGCTCTAATTTCATCTCACAAAGTGTAGATGCTGAGGGGTGGTTTTGAAGAAGGGAGCACCTCACCCTCACCTGTATTTCCTTGGGTCAGTGCCAGTCTGATTGTCACCCTAACTGTCTACAGCACATTTGCAATGCTTTCTAAACTACAAAGTACTTACCAGCAGTCCTTGAACATGGCTATTTCTTTGCCATTATTGCTTGCCTTATGACACATGAACAGCACCTGTGATCCACAGGAAGGGGACAGGCTGTAATACGTGGGTGGAGCCCTTGGGAGAAAGGATTGGGGAGTTTTCCACATATGCCCATGTATCTGTGCTGAGGTCATGGGGAGATGAGTGATAGGCTAAATCCAGGAGATGATAGCAGAGTTTAGAGGGCTCAACATGTGAGAGGTTAGGTTAAGTATGCAAAGCAAGAAAGAGGGGAAGAGGAATTGGGTACAGAAAGGCTGAGAAAGTAGGTGGTAGACAGAAACAGTGGGGGAAATTTCAACTCTCTAAAGCCAAATGTTCTAAATGATTTTGGCTTGATACATGCATGTATTACTCACCATGTCCTGGATAGTGGTGATAGTTCACACATGGCTTCTCACTTCACCTTCACAGCATTTTAAGACTATCATTCTTTATTCATTTTATCAAGAACTGGTACCTCAGAGAGGTTGCATAAGCTCACAGAGGAACATCCGAGGCTTACAGGTTGAATAAATGCTTATGTGGATTCAATTCCACTGCAGACAGAAAATCAAGAAGAAACCAATACAAACTCTAACCTTTTCACAGGAGGCTGGAATCACAGCAATGGGCTTTCTAGTGCACAAACACCCTGTTTAGAAATGGACATTTAAAAGAATCAAGATTTTCAGGCTTCAACTTTATCGTTGTGTTAGAGTTCTGTTGGAACATTAGTCATGCAATGTGTTAAAAATACTAGAGTAAGAGTTTCAGTGGGGACTACAATGATGGAAAGACGTTGAAGAAGGACCAAATGGGGGCAATCAGGAGAAGAGAGGAGTCTAAGAAGGCCTCTGTGTGTGTGTGTGTGTGTGTGTGTGAGAGAGAGAGAGAGAGAGAGAGAGAGAGA